ATATTGATCCTAGCATGAGATCGATGTAATGTTGAACATCCCTTAGTGGCGGCAATCCCTCGAGAACAGTCTATAGAAAAGTGGCTCGCGAGACTATGGCTTCCTCTATGTCGCCTCCTCGTGTATCCTTAATAGGTAAAAATACGATGTACTTCCCATTCTTCTACAAAATATAGGTATTCTTGAAGCCGTCATGCAGAGCCTTGCGATCAAACTGCCATGGTCTCCCCAGTAGAACATGACATGCATCCATTAGAACCACGTCGCACTATACCTACTCCTATAACTAGTCACCAACTGAGAACTCAACTGGGAATTGCTTATCTACTCTTATCTCATTTCCCTTTTTTGAGCCAAGTGAGAGAATAGGGTTGAGGATGTGTTGTGTGGCTAAACCCGGCTTTTTCACCATCAGTGCGGATACGATATTTTCACAGTTGCCACTGTTGACTATCAGACTGCAAACCTTGCCCTTTACTGTGCACTTTGGGGCAGACAATATTACGCTTTAACCATGATTGAACTCATTTAGATTTCATTTGCAACATTCTCTGCATAACTAACATTTCTCCTTTGTCACCCTGGAGCGAAAGCTCTTCCTCGGGTCTATCCTTGGGCTCTTCATCCTCTATCTCCTCAACAACGCCCTAGTCTGTGAATGAGACAACCCGAGTTGTGAGATAGCTGGAAGCTATGTGACTGTAAACGCGGCACCAAAAACATTTTCTGGCAGGCACAGTCCCCGAAGAACTACCCTTTTCTGGCTTTTTCCCACTAGGCTCGGCCTTGTCACTTCCTGGTACCGGCTTTCCTGCTCCTCCTGAAGTAGGCTTCGTTGTAGCTGGAGTTGCAGACGATGGCCTGAATGATAAATGACTACTAGGGCTGCAACAGAACCACATTGCTGAAAGCAAGCTTCAGACCCCCAAATATCAGGCGATAGTTAGCTCCTCTGGCTCAACTAGTTCACACTTCATCTGCAAGTGATTAAATTGCGTTGTGAGTTTCTCAACTGAAAAGTCTCGCTGCTGCAAATGGTGGAGCCATAGGTCCTAACAGTAGATATTTTCTCTGTTGTTCTTTCCGCTGTCTTTGCAAGTTCTCCCACCACAATGAAGCACCCTTTTTCAACTTAATGGCTATCAACTTTACCTGTGCATCCTCTTATTCAAAGATTTGTTGCACCGATCGTAGCCAGTCAACAAAGTTATATGAATTAATGCCTTCATCAAACTATGGCAGATCAACTTTAATGTCGAAGTCCTTGTACCTCCCATATTCGGGCTCCTCTCGCGGTCTCTTCTGATATTGAATACGAAAGTGGCATGGTCGGTATTCCTCGTCGTTGATGTCTTCTCTATGGAACGATTCAGATCTTCGTCTCTGTCACCCCTTCAACTCTGTATCATGGTCGTGGGTAATTTCCCCTTGGGGGTGCCATCATCCATATCTCCTTATCTTTGTTGAAGGCGAAGGATTTCCCGTTGTATTTAGTCCTGGATAAGGTCTGGTAGGTATCTTCTCGAGGGGATGGTTGGAGGACCTGTGGAGGGAAAGGTAAAAAAGAAAAAAGAAAGAGCAAAAAGACAAGTAAAAAAAATAGAGAAACGAAAGGGAAAGGAGAGGAGAGAGAAAAAAAAAATCGGTCGAACTCTAAGGAACCCTATGATAGGACTAGAGCTATGCTAGCTCTGATACCAAATGATGTCAGAGTTAACTCAACCAAAACTATGAAAATGAATTTTATTATGCAAAAGAAAGTCAGATACAATCAAGACTCCAACAGTTTACAAAGCAAGACTAGTAATAACGAGGAAAGGTAAGGGATATCGATGACAAGGCGGGGGCTAGTTGGCAGCTGGTCATGACATCAGGTGGAGGTGGCCCCGGGAGGGCTCGAGGGAGCACAATGTCAGATGGGCTTGCAAGAGAGCATTGAAGCGACCAATGGGATGCTAAGAAGACCTGGATGGGCGGCAGGAAGATGACCGCCGAGGTAAGCAAGCAGCTGTAGTGAGTCTGACGAAAGTAGTAGGGCTGGTGTGCCTACTTATGGGAACTAGGAGCGTTGGGTGATTGTTGGGAAGAGTCGCGCGAGGCTTTGAACGATGTTGGAGAAGGCAGACGCTAATTGGGAGGGTGCCCGAAGAGAGCAGCATGGTTGGAGACATGCTAATGAGAACAGAAGGTGGTGGGTGGCTACTAGGAAAGAGCCAGATGGGTCGTTGGTAGGCGCTGGTAAGGACAGACGATGATAGGTAGGGAGCTGAAAGGGAGCAGTAAGGCTGGCGATCTGCTGGGGACTCTCTGAGGTGATGGATGACTGTTGGGAAGGTTGAACGGTTTGCTAGAGAAGCAAAAAGGAACAGGTGGTGGTTGGTAAGGGATCTAAAGACGCCAGCAACAAGGAGGGACTTGGAGGGAGCGAAATGGCTAGTGGTTGTTGGACTGCTGGGAGAAGAGGCTGACGGCAACGAATATATAGAAAACACAAGGAAGCCACCACCTTGTATGAGTTACAGTCGAAGCACCAGCTCGTTGTCGGATACAGCTCTCGAGGGAGGGATGACGCTAAAGGGAGAATTCTGAATTCAAGAAAACAATCATCACCCTTGACTTAGACAAACAAACTTATAAATAATAGTGAGTAGCAAGTAGAAATAGGAAATAATTAGAATAGGGAAGAACTTAGAAAGGAAAACATAGAATAAGGAAGAACTCAAAAAAAGAGTGACAATAAAAGGAAGGGGAATAGAAGGGAAACAGGTATGAATCAGATAGGGTTGGTTCACTGGGCCCTAAGCCCAATTCTGCGTCAGAATTTTTGTAAGTTTCATTGCTTGTAGAGAGTTCATTTGAGTGTCTATCTTTATACAATTATGGATCTTCATAGTAAAAAATACTTGGTGATGTGGCTCCGTGATTTTTTTTCTTATTATAGGGTTTTTCCATGTTAAATTTTGATGTATTTTTTTTTTTGGAATTGTTTTGTTGTGCTTCGGCTCAAATATTTGTTATGGATTTCTCGAATCAGTACGATCCTATTTCACGGTGTGGTATTGATTTCTAATTCATCGCAACCCTACATAAAAAATCCCAAAAAAGATATATTAGAGCGAAGTGTTTGAATCGAGTGGGAGCATTAACTGTTGAAGCTACGTACAAAGTAAAGAAGTTTAATGGATTAAACTTCGCGTTCCAGGGGATACAAATGGAGAATTTATTGTATCAGAAAAAATTATATTTGACATTGCAAGGAATCACCAAGAAGCCCAAATCAATGGCTATGAAGGAATGAGAGCTGTTGAATTGAACGACCTTAAAACTGAACAACTGTAGACTTGATCTATTTATCATTTCCTTATCTGTTGCATTTAATATAGTGAATGAGAAAATCACAGTGGATATCATGGTGACAATAACAAAGATGTATGAAAAAATTTTAGCTCCCAATAAAATTTTATTGAAGAGGTTATTCAATATGAAGATGATGGAAGACAATTCAGAGGTAGAGCATCTGAACAATTTCAACACAGTAATGAGTTAATTTTGTTATGTGGATCGAATTTTAAGATTAGGTTAGAGCATTGTTAATTTTTTCTTCATTATCGAACAATTGAGATAGTTTGTTCACGGTGATAACACTTCTAGGAATATGAAGTTGAACTTCAAAGGCATCGTGGGATTGATGTTGAATAAAAAAGTCTGTAAAAACGCAAGCAATGGTGAATCTTCAGGTTTTGCGTTGAATGTTGAAAATAGAGAAAGAAATCTAGACAGAAATACAAGTAGAGATAGACTCAAGTTCGTAAGAGGAAAGTCTAGGTTGAGTAGAGGAAATGACAGGAGAGAATGTTGAAACTGTTAAAAGAAATGACATTTCAAGAACAGTCAAGCTCCAAGGAAGGCTGATGGTAAACGACAAGGAACCTCTACAAATGTCTCTACTGGAAAAATTCAAGGTTAACACGTTGGTGTTAACCCTAGTCAGTATTGAATCTTAAATAGTAAGTTCATGAGCCTTTTTATGCATGCCCCAACAAAGAGGCATTCAAAAATAACACTGAAACTAATCTAAGGGGCTTTACGTGAGAGACAATACATTTAATATCGTAGGAAATGGTGATATGGATATCAAGTTGTAAATAAAACTATCTGGAAGCCCAATGAAATCAGACATATTCCAAGTATGAAAAAAATTTTGATCTCTGTGAGCCAACTGACAAAGTCAAGATACATGACTCTTTCATCAGTGGCCCGTGGAAGGTAATCAGGAGGTCATGGTAACGGCTCATGGCATGTTTAAGACTCTTTAATCGATCAATGAAATGGCGGATTTCACTGATGTGGCTGAAACCAAGATGGATGCACATTTATGGCATCGGAGGTTTAGTCATATGAGCGAGAAATGTATGAAATACATACTTTTAAAGGATAAATTTTGGGATTTGAAATCTGTAGATTTAAATTTGTGTGAAGATTATCTATAGGACAAGCAGAAGAAAGTTTCTTTCTCTAAATGTGGGTCAATTGTGAAGTCAAAGAAATTAGAGTTAATGCATAATGGACATATGGGGTCCTATTTCAATTCAGTTCATTAGAGTTTCTCATTACTTTGTCATATTTATTAACGATCACACTAGAAATGTATGTGTTTGCTTCTTAAAGCAAAAAGTAGGCATATTTGAAGTGTTTAAGAAGTGGAAGATTATAATAGAAAATAAGACAGACTTGAAACTAAAATGTTTCAGATCAAATAATGGGAGTGAATATTATGTCAAAAGTTCAAGAATTACTGTGCTTCGAAGGAGGTTAGACATGAGTTCACTATTCTAAGAACTCCACAACATAATGGAGTAGCTGAGCATATGAACAGACCCATCACAGAACGTACCAAAAGTATGAGGTTGCTTGCAAGTCTACCAAGATAGCTTTGGGCAAAAGTAGTGAACACTGTAATGTATCTAATCAACAATCAATACCTTTAAAAGAAGTCTTACCTGAATAAGTCTGAACTGATAAGGTAGATCTATCCACTTGAAAGCATGCGAGTGTTCTGCATATGTCCATGTTGATGCAAGGTCCTGAAGTAAATTTGACTTGAAATTCGTCAAGTGTACATGTATTAGTTATGGCTCATATGGATTTAGGTACAAGTTATGGGACTATCATAATCAACAAGTCATCAAGAGCAGAGATGTTACATTCAATGAGATGAAGATGCACAATGACAAAAATAAAACTCAGGATTACCCATCAGTTACTTCTAAAGAGCTCAAATATATTAAGATAGAAGACATTGGTGATCGAGAGAGTCGAGAAATAAGTGCTCAAACAAATAAAGCATGTAAAATTTCTCAGTCACTTGTTACTGAAGTTAGAAGGTCATGTAGAGCTATTCAACCGACATAGAGGTATTTTCCTTCTTTGTGCTATTTGTTGCCATGAGGATGCCACTCAGTTGAACTCGCGAGAGTGAGAGTTTGGCATGGATAATGAAATGTAGTCCTTGGAGTCAAATCACACTGTTGACCTCATTTTTGTGAGGCCTTAATCTCTTACTCCCATAACCCATAATTTAGCCTTAGGAGTTCCTGGTTGACCATCCTAGCGGACTAGTAATGGAGCCTACCTCCCATAGAACTTCAAACCGCTTACTCATTTTTTGTGAAAAAAAAAAAAAAAAACTCGCACGAATGGTCCCAAGCACTCAACCTCTAGTTGCAAGGGCTAAGGACCAACATGCAGAGGGTCTGAAAATGAGTTCCAATAGGATCAAACGACCCTAGGTTAACCCTCGGTGACTCAGCAACGCACTTGTTGCATCACACACAATTTTAGCTTAAATTGAGTCGCCCGCCAGCAAACTCGTCCGGACGATCCCAGACGCATCTAGAACGTCGATTTTAACTAGGAAGGACACCCATATTGCTGTGGTTCCACACTTGCGCGAACTGCACGAAAATCGATGCACGTTTCTTCTAAATCAGCGGGGCAAGGGTTTGGGTTCAGCCCGGGCTCAATTCGAGCTCGACACAGGCTGAACGCAAGCCAGGACTATTTAAAATTTCAAATTTTTAAAATGTAAATTTTACCTCCAAATTTCATCTTAATTAGATTTAATTAGGAGTTAATATTTACCTAATATAACTGCTCCTGTATGGAAGGAATTTAATATCCCGCTCCATTGCACCTGTAACGGGACTCCTGCTTATCTTCCTCGCGCTCGAGACGCCTCCTGTTTTTTGATCTTCCTCGCGCTCGAGACCCCTCCTGCTTATCTCCCTCGCGCTCGAGACTCCTGGCTTATCTCCCTCGTTCGGCCTGCCTCGCCTCTCCCTCGACCGAAGACCGAAACTCTTCGCCCGCCTCATCTCCCTCTCCCTTTCCCACTCGCCTGCTCTCGCCTGAGCCCCGCGCTTGATCCCCCGTCTTCTCGCATCGTAGCCGCGGTCTCTGCTCGCGGCTACTCATCCACAGAAAACCTCGGCCGGCTCGATCGGGCGTTTCCTCCTGCGCCCGAAACTCTTCCATTCGCGCTTCCAGACGTCGCCCGCCTCGCCTCAGCTCGCTCGACGTGCATCCAGACGCCGTTGCTCGCCCCGCTGCTCATCTCCCTCGCTCGAAATTCCTCCTGCTCATCTCCCTCGCTCGAGATTCCTCCAGCTCATCTCCCCGCTCGACTCCCACAGACGATCGAAGCTCCGCTCGCTTCCCTCTCTGCACCGAAGCACCCTCACAGTTTCCAGATTTTTTTTTCTGCATCTATCTGCATCTACTGCAGTTTCAGGTTTGCGCCCTTTATATTAAATTTATCCCGAATCTAATAATTTGTTCGCTGTTTACATAATCCTTTATACAGATTAAATTCGTCATCACCATTAGCTTTATCCTAATTGCTTTTGCTTGGTTTTATGAGCTTCCTTTATCCATTGATATTGCTCTTTATTATTTAGATTTGAGCTCTGATTTTGATTTTTATTGTGAAAAGCTTCATGATTATGTTAAGATTCAAGAAA